AAATTAATTCTTAAAAAAGTAATAGTTCCAGAGAGAGAGACAGAGAAAGACAGAGAGGGAGCAGTAAAGTGAGAAAGCAAGCCTCCAGGTCCGGGGCTCGAACCACCATCAGCTATGTGGGAATCCAGCGCCATGAACCACACCACCTGCTGGCCCCAACATGGCTGACTTTCAATCTGCAAACCCTTAGCCCCTTACACAGGGGCACAAACAGGGGATGAGAGGGGTTAGACCCTCCTGGGGGGATCCCACAGGAATCTGGGGTGTCTGACACTTGGGGAGGGGGCGGAGGTCAGACCCATGGTGGTGGAATGAAGTGCGGCCCCTTTAAGAAGGCGAGTGCCAATAAGAGGAGCCCCAGCTGGGGAGGGAGGGCGGGAGAAAGCTGGGCTTGTTGCCAAGGGCCACCGGTTGCCTAGCAACGGGCTTCCTCTGGGTAAGCTTCGCTCCTAGAACAGGGGAAGGGGTTTTCTGCGCTGGTGCTTCCCTGGCTCCTGGGTCCTCTCTGGCTCACACACCTTCTATGGCTCCCTATTACTCTGGCTGGACAAGAGTTTGTCACCTAAAGTCACACCTCTGAGCCCCTGCCCAGGCTGTTTTCCTATCTGGAAGACTTTTCTTTTTTATTTTTTCTCCAAAGAATTATTTTAGGGGCCGGCAGGTGGCATGGCGGTTAAGGCAGCTGGACTCCCACATGGTTGACCACAGTTTGAGTCCCGGACCTGACAGCTTGCTTTCTCACTTTCCTTCTCTCGCTCGCTCTTGCTCTGTCCCTCTCTGGTCAAATTAAAATAAGGAAGTAAGTAAATAAAGTTAAATAAAATGATGCTTTTTAAAGAAAAAAAAATCATTTTACATCATTTTATTCATTGTCATTTTTTAAAATTTGATTGAAGTTGACCAGAGAGAAACAGAGAGAGAGAAGGAAAGTGAGAAAGCAAGCTGCCAGGTCTGGGACTTGAACCATGGTCAGCCATGTGGGACTCCAGCTGCCTTAACCACCATGTCATCAGCCGGCCCCCTGCCTTTTTTTTTTGGAGAGGTTTTTGCTATAAGGCGTATGCATTTGCCAGAAAGAGAGACAGAAAGTGAGACATCACTCCCCAGGGGGGATGGCCATGCCGCAATCCCTTCTCCTCCATTCTCCTCTCGGGATCTTGGACACGCACGCACACGTGCCCAGCATGAGTTTAAGCCACTGGGTCCGGGACGCGAACCGTGGTCGACTACGTGGGAGTCCAGCGACAGCCATGACGCTAACTGCTGGTCCCAACTTTCTCAGATTTTCTCTCTCTCTCTCTCTTTGTTTCTCTCTGGTCAAATTAAAAAATAATCATACATAAAAATGAATTAGTTAAAAAAAAAAAAAAAGGCAAATAAACAGTAACCCCAGAGCAAACACGGCTTAGTGTCTCGGTTTCCCTATCCGTGTGCTCTCAAAGCTAGAATCAGCCATGACCCTCCAGGATGGGGGTGTCAGCTGGCTCTCTGTCTCTCAGGCTGGGAGATTCTCCCTCCGTGCAGATTGGAGACCCCAACATCTCCCAGAGGTAACTGAGCTGTGGTCATGGTGGTGGGCAGGAGGGAGGGAATGAATATGAATGACACAAGTCTGTCTACATCTGTTTTTTTTTTAAAGGGTTATTTTATTTCATTTTATTTATTCATTCATTTCATTTCTTTTTTTTTTTTGTGGAGAGGTTTTCGCTATAGGGCACGTGCGCTCTTTTTTTTGAGAGATTTTCACTGTAGGGCGCGTGCGCTCACCAGACAGACAGAGAGAGACATAGAGACAGAAAGCGAGAAATCACCCCCCAGGGGGGATGGTCACGCCGCAATCCCTTCTCCTCCATTCTCCTCTCGGGATCTTGGGCACGCACGCACACGCGCCCGGTGTGAGTTTTAAGCCACCGGGTCCGGGACGCGAACCGCGGTCGACTACGTGGGAGTCCAGCGACATAGCCATTACGCTAACTGCTGGTTTCCTATTCGTTTATTTTCATTTGACCAGAGAGAGACAGAGAGAAAGAGAGAAAGAGAGAAAGCAAACCACCAGGTCCAGGACTCGAACCGTGGTTAGCCATGTGGGAGCGTCCAGCGCCTTAACCACCACGCCACCTGCAGGTCCCTGTCTCAGTCTGTTTCTCACTGGGTCACAGAATAGGATCTGGGGTCAAATCCAAAATCCCCCGAACTCTCCGGAATGGGAAGGACCCGGAAATTCCCTGCCTGGAATGACCCTGGCAGCTGGACGTTCAGTCTGGCGCCGGGTTTCAGTCCTGAGTCTGCGATTTGTCACCAGGTCACTCCAGCCAAGTGATTCCTGCTCATCCTCAATCTCCCTGTGGCACCCGCTGTGACCTGCCTAGGATTATGGGGGATGTGGATTCGAACCCAGCCAGCCTCTCCCCACTTTCATTTCTACCCCCTGCAGAACCTTGATCTGTTCACAAGACACCCAGTCCCCCCACTTCCATAAAAGTCCTCCCCAGCCTGCCTGGAGCTCCCACCAAAATAAGAGTCCGTCTTACCCAAAAATGCTCCCCAAAATACGACATCCTGCTGGTCTCTGTGAAGACACCCCTGTAGGCCTCAATCCAGCACCTATTTAAATAAAAAGACAAGTTTAAGCCTCAGGTTCACAGCCAGTTCAGGCCTGAGAGGGGAAATTCCGATGGCCCTCCCTGTGGAGGAGGGAGAGGGAGGATAAAGGAGGAACTGAAACCCCAAAGCTGGGAACGTGCCAAGGTGGCTGAAGTCATTTATCCTTGGCTCTGACCCCATGAATCCCCCAAGTGAGGAGGGACAGAACTGGACACAGCTGCCCGATGTCCCAGGGAGTGAAAGCCAGACTGGATTCTGGGACAGAAGCTGAGAAAGTCCAGGTTAGAGGAGAGGGCATGGGAGTTGGGGTTTTGAAGGGTGTATAGGAGTTTGTGGACAGGGATGGGAGCAATGTTAGTTGAGTCCCGGCCTAGGAAGAAAACTCTGGGCCATTTTACTGATGCAAAAACTGACCCCCACCTGCCACTTGGGGAGGAGAAGCCACTTGTCACAAAGTAACAATGGATTTGCAGCCTGGGTTGGCTAAATCCAGACCCTAGCGCTCAGCTGGATGCTGGACAGCTCCTATCGGAAAAGGGTCTGGTGAGAGATGGATGCAGTCATGTGGGAATTGGGGTCTCTCAAGGCCCCTTGGGGGGGGGTCCCCACCTCACACACATTCATAGAACGCAGAGCTCACCCCTCACCGTGGGGACCCCACAAGTCCTAGCCTCGTCCTCGGCAGGAGGTATTCACCTGGTGTCTGAGTCACTGTCCGGCTCCGTGCCTCAGTGTCCCCATCTGCAGAACAAGAAGGAATGCTCAGAACGGGTCTTGCTGGGACCAGCAGTTAGCGTCATGGCTATGTCACTGGACTCCCATGTAATCGACCGCGGTTCGAGTCCCAGACCCGGTAGCTTAAACTCATGCCGGACGCGTGTGCGTGCGTGCCCAAGATCCCGAGAGGAGAATGGAGAAGAAGGGATTGCGGCGTGGCCATTCCCCCTGGGGGGTGATTTCTCACTTTCTGTCTCTCTGTCTCTCTCTGTCTTTCTGGCGAGCGCACGTGCCCTATAGCAAAAAACCTCTGAAAAAAAAAAAAGAGAGAGAGAGAAAAAGAACGGGTCTTGCTGAAGGACCCTCTCTCTCTGCACAGGGGGCTGGGCCAGGCCACCCCGTGGGGAAGGTTCAGATGGTGTCCTTGGAATGTGCTCCAGGCCAGCCTGTCACTCGA